AAAAAAATTTTTTTTTTTTTTGGTTTTTTTTATTTTTGTTTTTTCATTTTTTCGGTTTTTTTTTTTTTTTTTTTTTTTTTTTTTTTTTTTTTTTTTTTTGTCCACCTCATATTCACAAAAATACCGCTATCTTCATCAAAATAACTTCAATAGTTAAAATGGTCTGGCTGCTTTGACATAAAACACAATAAGTAAATAAAATACCTGCCATTAGAAATTTGTGGAAAACAGAAAATTCCCTGAAAGTATTAATTTTTTTCCCCCCACATTTATAAAACATCATCTATTTATTGGATTTTTGTCCCAAACCCTTAAACTTTCTGCAGTAGCAAACATTCACCACAAGGTGGAATCATTACAGGTTTGTTCTATAATCTAAAGCAAGCCTTGTTGCCCCAACATAGAGGATGTAGGTGGTTTGTGATTTGGATACAAACATCTATTTAAAAAATAATCATTTTAGTTCTGGGTTAACAGTCAGAGGGAGATCTTTAATGATACAGATGTTCTCCTCCAGCTGGCTTTAATCTGTAGTCTTACTTGGTGCAGTTTAAATTTTAATACAAAGTTAAACTGATTGGTAACAATTAAGGCAATTATTAATTTTATTTAAAAAGGTTGATGGTTTAGTATACTTTAAAGAATTCAATTTTTATTAGACACATCACCTTTAAAAAAGGTCTAATATGAGCTTCCTTTTAATAAAAGAGAAAACTCTGAGCCATTTGGCTCAAGTTAAAGTTTTCACTAACTAAAAAGGAACATGACTCCATGCCTCAAATTAAGCAGGTTTCTCAGCAGGCCTCTCCTTCCACCCTTATACCTGTTTGATCATCTCTCCGGTTCTCTCGATGACGATGGTTTTGGCCTCTTTAACAGGTGAAGTGGCCTGGTAGTCGTCGCTAAGCAGACCAAGGATCGGGTACTGGTTCCTGTACCTGCACAGCCAAACACATGGAGAACCATGGGACTCGTTTTAGTGTGCTTAATGTAAACTTGTGATGTGAGTATAGTAATCTATTCAATGATATTCACCCAGTTGTGACTTAGGAGGCAGAGGAGACATCTGACAAATCATTTTGTGTTCCACTATAATCCAACTCAGTTCTACGTTTGAATTAGATGGATCTGAATTAATTTGAACAACAGATTGAACTGCGATATGAATGGAAAACCGTTTGTCATTTCAGAAAACTTTACTGTGAATCAACACCAAATGAAATATTGAAACACATTGTACGAAATCATCAACGACCTTTGGCTAATTTTTGATGTGTACAGGAAATAATATAATACACACATTAACCCACAACATAGTTGAATTCTGACTGGTTAATATGGCATATGGCCCATAAACTGTCAACTATTATACTGTGTAATAACTTGTATAATGTATTTTACATGACATAAACTGAGAAATTTAGAGCTTTGTGTTGATTCTTAGACTAAACTGAATGAAATGATTCCCATCTTTGCTTAAGCCAGTGGTTTCCAAACTTTTTCTTCTGCGCCCCCCCAGTGGTTTCCAAACATTTTCTGCGCCCCCCCCTATGGATTACAAGTAGCTGTCTGGTTGAAACGACGCGTGTGGAGGAGGGGGTGGCGACATTTTTGGGGGCAAAATGAATGTACGTAGCTGAAAATAGACTCCAACTTCGGTAGCCTACAAGCTACTTGTTAAGCTTAAGGGTCTGTATTGATATTAGCTAGTCATCTTTTAGCTAACATTACCTGCATCCAACAGCTTTACTCAACTCAGTCGGTTAGTTTGAAGGGAAAAACTGTGAAAAGTTCTTTGCGTTTTGCTGGTTTGCTGCCATGATTCTAACACAAACCTACGTAGCTCCGCACAGCAGCAGCAGGTCTCCTTCACAGGTGGAAACCCAGCGATAGCGTCGTAGCGCTCATGTTGCGTTTAAAGGCGGCTCGGAAAAACAGGTTACAACATGTTAACAACGGATTAAACAGTTTTAACTGCTGATAAAAGTGACAGAGGACACAGATATGGGAAGTGTGGAAGCCTCTACTGTATCAAATTGACATAGGAATAACAGAGAGTTGGCCATTCTAAGGTAAAAACCCAGCGCATACAGTGTTCATGTTTTTTTTTTTTCATCCAGACGGCTTCCCGCGCCCCCCCTGCAATGACACGGCGCCCCCTCTAGGGGGCGCGCCCCACAGTTTGGGAACCTCTGGCTTAAACTAAATACTTCACAAAGTTAATAAGTGATTTCAGGTCAGCAGTGTGCCGCGTGACTGCTGTACCTCTTGGTGATAATTGTCTTGGTGACGTTCTTGGAGCTGTCGTTCCTCTCCATCAACAGTCTTCTGATCTCCTGAAGGCAAAGAGAGCTCAAAGTCAACAAAGTTCAATCAGTTTCAGAAAAAAAGGCTGAACAAGGAACTCCTGACCACAAGAAACAGTTTAATACTCTCTGAAATATGTCTCATAAGTTCTACAGAGACCATCATTTCCCTCTTGCATGTTTTAAGGAATTAATCCTCGTTTTCCAGTCAATTGAACTCACCTCAGGCGCTACAAACTGTGGCGTAGGTGTCTGATGAAGCTTGATAAGACGAATATTTATGTGCTTTAATTGGTTGAACAGAAAAAAATGTTGAAACCTCAGAATGCAGTTGGACCAGAAAGCTAACCTCTGAAGTAATTAAAAAAAAAAAAAAACACAGGTGTTGTGCTTCTAAGTGCCAGCTGCTGACATTATTTAATATAAGGTAGTAAGTCCATCAACCTCCAGGTTATTTTCCTTATTATATTAATATTCTACATAGACAATATTCTCACCAGCTTTTAAAATGATTGTTTTTTGCGAGTAGTAAACTTTTATCCCCCATTCAAGAGCCAAACTCCTCACCACTCTGTCTGGGTCATGAGCCGGCAAGCCGTTCCCAAGCCGTTTACAGCTACTGGTATTCTAAGAACTTATAATGTTTGAATCTGTAAAAGTATCAGAAGATAGTTATTTTAAATGTTAAAAAAAAAAAAAAAAAAAAAAAAAAAGGAAAACTTTGCTTAGTTTTTTAGGAAAGCTGAGCTAAACAAAAAAATACTTATGCTAATAGCAGAAGTGTGCCAACTGCTGCCTAAGTATTCCAATAGGCATTGTTTAGCTGTAAATGGTTTACCAGGGTGCAAATATTATAAAGTTGTACATAAGATATATTTAAACTTTACTTTTACTGACTTCTTGCCAAAAATGGGAACTTTTATTTGATTTGGTTGGTTTGCTCTACGTTTCTGACTTAAACAGCTTCTGGAACAACCTGGGAGCCACCAGGGCTGTCCACAACGATGTCAGTTTAACAGCAACATTTACCAAGAGGCTGCTGAGCAAGCTCAGTACAAAATAAACACCTTCAACCTCAACTTAAATCTGCTGATATGGACAGGCCAGATGATTGTTCTGTACAAAGATCGAGCTCTTAGACCACAAAGAGGACGAGTATGTGAAGCTCCTACATGGACTGAACCATCTCTCAAGCATGGTGGTGCAGCTTCATACTGTGGTTCTGATAACAGTAGAGTTGTTTTCATGCTGCTTTGTGTTTATTGCACATTCGGACCCCCGATAGAGGGGATAGAGGGAAGGCAAAGAAGTGTTTCCACATTTTACCCTAAATTTAGGAAAGGTTTAAACTCTAAGAGATGAAATATTGTTTTTTTGTTGTTGTTGATCTCCAGTAGATTAGATCAATATCTGAGGTGAAACATTACAGTGAAAGAGGTGTTGAATGTTTCAAACCTCCTCCTTTTGCTTGATGGTGATCTCCCGCTGCTCCAACTTGGACAGCAGCTCTGAAATCTTCAGCTGGAGAGAGCTCTCTGCGGATGAGGACTTGGTGGTAGTGGTGTTGGTTGTGGTTATCTGCATCTGCAACTTCGATATCTGAGACTGAGGCCCATCACAGTGAGAGGAGGGAAAGAATAAGCAAAAACATGCAGATTTTATTCAGCCATGTAAAGGGAAAAAGTTACTAAATCTTCATCACAAGCACTTTTCTACATACAAATGTTCCAACTAATTATTAAGTCCACACTCAAAATTAAAAGAGTTAAATTTTTCAAAGTATAAATGTAAACTATGAGTTTACAGTATAACATACATTTACTCAGTTATTAATCAAAAAAAAGGGGGGGGGAAATAAGACAGGAAGGAAGGAGGGAAGGAAAACAGAGAAAAGAAGGTAGGAAGGAAACAGGGAAGGAGAGCAAGGAAAGAAAGGAGATAGAGACAAAGAAAAAAAGCAAGAAAATACAAAACAAGGATGCAAAGAATGAAAACAGAAAGAAAAGAAGAAAAAACTAAGAAAGAAGAAAGGATGGGAATTAGAAATAAATTAAATAAAAATATAAAGCAAGAGAGGTAGAAAAAAGATAAGTAAGGAAGGAAGGTGGAGCTAGCTAGACATGTAGCTGTGACTAGATAACTAGCTAGCTAGATCGATCGCTAGCTAGAGGAGGAGGATGGTTGGTCATAATTGGCATTTTACAGTTTTGCTATATTTGTTTGCAGTTCACACATTTCTTAAGAAGTTGTAGATCTGCTATGTTTTGTCAAGTTTGACCAAACTGGACCCAAAATGACAGCAAGGAATTAATGATCACAAAATGTACAAATCTAACTTCTACACAGGTCTTCTAAGATTTCACTTTAAACTACTGTGACTTTTTAGCAAGATGTTTTCAAGCCTGCTTTGTTTGTATTTTTTTTCTTTTTTTTTTGCATCTTACCCTCAGTTTCTCTATCTCTCTGTCTCTTTCTGTCTTCAGGGTCTCCAGCTCCTGCCTGTAGTGCTGAGTCAGCGCCTCCGTTTTGAGGTGCAGGTTGCCGTTGCTGGATTGTCCGACCAGCTTAACAAAACAGACAGACGGACAAAAAATGTAAGGAAACAGATCAAAATAAATAAACATAATATAACAAACCCTAATGAATTCAATGGATTTTTTTTTGTCATCCATCACAACAGAAAGTGTCCACAAGAAAACATTAATCTATATTTAAGCCAATCAGATTTCTTTATGGATGGATAGTCCATGGTTTGGAGGAAGTTGACCTCTACCTTCTGTTTGAGCATCTCATTCTCCTTCTCCAGTCCTCTCATTCTTCCCTCCAGCTCTCTGATCTTGAAGCTGCCGACCGAGTCGCTGCTTCGGCAAGCGGAGAGCTGACTCTCCAGGGAACGCTGGGACGCTTGGGCTTCCTTCAGGGACAGCTGCACAAAAACACACAAACTCTTCACTTAAATACTTTATTCGGAAAGGTCGTAACTTAAATAAAAATCCATAAACTAAAAAATTGCTTCGTACAGCTCCTCCCTGTAGTCCAACTACAGAACTTGTTGAGATGTGGACTTTGACTGGGTCATCACTCGCCCTCTGAAGTTGATGTTCAGTTTGTCTGTCAACAGTTAATTTTAATGTGGGATATTGCTGATGTCTTTCCACCCTGGACTGTAGTAACACACGTATCTTATTCAAATATGTCTGTAGCAATAAATTTAACACATTTCCATCCAAAACCACGAGGGAATAATTATCCACACATTCAATGATTCAACCGGAAGAAAAAAAAAAAAAACTGAAGAGGGCTACATGTGATATGACTTTGGTTTAGTTTGGGTTCAAATGTAATAAATTAAGCTCATACATCACATGATCTGATTAGAATCATTAGATCACTTGAATGACAGTACCTGCAGCTTGTTGTTGCTCTCTCTGACGTTCTCTATGAGGGACTCATACTGCAGAGCCTGGTCTGCTTTGAAAGCCAGATCTCTTTCCAAAGACTCCTTCTCACTTTCCAGACGCTGTGAACACACACATACACACACACCTGTTGGTAGTTTTCAGGACAGAAATGCAGTTTATTCTAGAATCTGCATAAGCTGTAAAACCACATTTTTACTGGAATGAAACCTCATCAATAACATTGCACAATTGATCAGGTTTCTTGTTTGCAGAAAGAATGGAAAGGAAAATATGAAAATAAATTTCCAGCCATGCTGGTTTGTTTGTGCGACATGCTAACGTTAACTTTGCGAGGCGTTTTATGTCTGGCCTGAGCAGAGAGGACATCATGTCCCGACTCCACACACACTACTGCAGAGATTTTCTCTTTAAAAAATAGAGTTTGAGGTTATTGGTACAGGATTTTGTTGCTAAAACTGATTCATTTAAAAAAAATCTTAATCATGAAAAAAGAAAATAAAGGTAAAGTTTAATCCGTACAGGTTTTAACAGCACCTTCAGGAGGCTGAACAGCATGTTAACACAGCAGGAACAGCTGGGATTTTCACAGACATTTTCTGAAAACATCTCTGAAGTGGAGCTGCAACTAAATTATTTTAGTTCCTGATTATTAGCTGAGGTTTCAATGGTTTAATGAAATTCGGCTTTCTGCTTGTTTTGACAGCTTATGCTGTGCAAAACCAACAGATTTGACGTTTTCCAGGTCAATCTGCAGAATACTATTTATGCTAAGTAATGATCTGCAACTAAACCTCTATTGTTTGGGAAAATTTTAACTCCACTACATTTGAAATCTGTCGAGTTACTAGTCAGCAGCAGCAGCAGCAGCAATTATCCCAACACACTTTTAAATCTGCCTAGTTTTCTTTTTCTACCTTCATGTTTGCCTTCATGTTACTCCTCAATTACCCGTCAGCAAAAAGAAAATGAAACAGAAGCTGATGTTTTTTGTAGGGCTCCATTATGGTTGAGCTGAGTCACCACACCTTGCCCCTGCCTCAATGATGACGGCTCTCACCCGCATGTCCTCAGACATCTGCATCAGCTCCTCTCTCAGGCTGCTGAAGGTGGAGAGCAGCAGACGCATGCTCTTCTCTGCAGTGAAACGAGTCTGAAACACAGCCAGATGTGAGAGGCGAGTTAATATCAGACAGGTTCTTATCATTCTCCTGCCCTAATGGAGGATCACAGGAAATAACAGGTCATATTTATATAAATAACAGGTCCAGCTGACAGCCGGGCCATTGGACTGAATGCTCATGTTGTTTTTGAGCATCAAGTTTATCAGGTAAGAGAAAATGCTGTTTTACTGCCGTCTTTTACATTTTTGTAAATGTTTTATAAACTATGTACACTTTGAGCTATATAAAAGGGATGTACTTTCTTTTCTACCAGGACTACAGGTACATAACCTATAGTTCTGTCTCTGAACCAAAATCTATGAGAAGCCTGGTTAAAGTTCAGTCCTCTCTCCATCTGAACCAAACAGCTCTGAGGAATGAAAAGCCCTACTGTGAAAGCAAACTATGGCTGCAGGCACTGGAACGAGAATGCAAATAAGCAATAATAGTTTATTATTTATTCATTAAAATGTGTTGGAGTATTTTCTGTGTATCTCACCTCCAGCAGGTAGCGCATCTGCTGCTTGGTCAGTTCGTTGGCTCCTTTGGGAATCAGAGACTCCACCTCCTGTGTCTCACCCTGCACACAGAGAGACGCAACTCAGCACATATTCACCGCCTCATACAAACAGGAGATTACATCAGTATTGATTGTTTCTGATCAGATAAGGTGTAGAGAGGAAATTTTATTTAATATAACTGACTGATTCTTGTCTGTTATGTACACAGCTGATCTTTAAGGTATTTAATTGTCTCAAGAGCTCAGCTCAGACGCGGCTCTCACCTTTAGGTCGCTGGAGAAATTCAGAGTGTGTTTCCTGTGACACACAGAGAGGAAAAACAAAGTGAGGTAGGCAGCATAGCTTGGAGGGAGATGAATGACGAAAGTGTGCGCCTGCACAGAAAACTGATATTTGTTCTTGCAGTATTCCAGGAATCTCAGGTGAACACAGAGGGAGGCAGGTGAAACAAAACATATCGGTCTTAATATCAGTACACATCAAAATTGGACATAAATGAAGTTTAAGACAACATTGTGACATTGTAACATTGCAACTATTATCTGACCTAGAAGCATCCTTACCATGACTTAAATATTGTCATTTCATGACTTGTGTGTTTCTGCTCTGTTACATTTATATTTCTGCTGCACAACTGAACTTGAACCATGAAGGGTCTCCAGAGTCTAGAGGGCCACATGAAAAGGTATGGCAGGCCAGATTTGGGCCCTGGGACCTTTATATTGCATGCGTCTCTGAAGCTTCACGCTTTATATTTGCACTTTTTTTGCTTTAAATACCTTGACGTGAAGTGTAAGATTTCCACAATGTAATGTTGTGTTTGACTAAATTAAAGAACACCCCTTAAGTATTTTTTTTGCATCCTTTAAGTCTACTAACAAATTCATGAATCTATTCGGTTTCCTATTTGGCTGCAACTTTAGACACCCAAGGATTAATAGAGAACCGACTTTTTCTCCTAAGTCTCTAAATTTCCCACACTGAAACAGCAGACCACCTGCTGAGTCTGCAGAAGTCGTATGTAAAACTCTGGATAATGGGAACGACTGAAACTCGACTCCAACCTGTTTGAACAAGCTGCAGATGAACCACTGCAGGCAAGTGGCCAAGCCCTCCCTGTGGTTGTTTACTTGGCATCGGCTTCATTAGATGTCAACAAAATGAAACTATGATATCAATGTTATCAACTCATCTCTAAGGTTATGAAGGTTGTGTGCAGTGAGTTTGAGTCAAAAAGACAACAAGCTCCCAAGGACTAAAAGGAGATGTCTCGCATGTTTACTTATTTGGATTCACAAAGTTTCCTGTGAAAAATGCAATGTTTTATTAAAAAATGTATTTTTCATGGATAATGGTTTACCGATTTTAGCCAATTGTTGAACCCCATGGTTTTCAGTGTTTTGCAGTGTTACTATGCATTGACAAATCCAAAATCTTCAGGAATATAATTTTCAAGCAGCTAAGCAAGATTTCTGTAGATAAGCAAGTTTTTATGTTAATGTCATTCTGTTAATGACTCTACCACTCGTTAACAGAAATATATTTTTAAGGAGAGAAGTTATGTACCTTATGTTCAGACATCATGAGCCTAGCATCGGTATCTTTTTCTCGTTAGATCAACAAAACATTTTAACCTCACGTTACCGTGGCAATGTCTACTTATGATCTTGAAATAAGATTTAAAACTTGTTTTATGGTGTTAACAGTTTCAATAGTTTTACTATATGAAAATAAAATTATCTCCACTTGTAAATTAAATTAAAAATCAAAGCAAACAAATACACTCTTCACAGACCAGTGAATTGGTCTATTCTAATGAAACACAAAACCGTCACAACAGGAATACCGACTCATGACACTGGGTCTCTCAAATGAGTTATTCAATTTAGGAATATAATGTCAAGAAATGTGCTTTGTTTACTTTATCATGACTCACAAAAATACACATATATACAAATACACACACACATATATATATATATATATATATATATATATATATATATGTATGTAACTTGCACTTACTGTCCGCGGATCTTGGACACGTTATCGAAGATGTAGGAGTGGATATCGCAGTTCTTCCTGTAGACATCTGCCAGCAGTTCGCCAAAGTAACGCGTGTCCAGTTTCGTTGGCTCCAGCGTCTCCCTCTGCTCTGACATGGAGAATTTCTGCTTCACCGATGGAGCTTTCTGCTGAATGATGTTGACAATCTCCACTTCTTCAACCACTGCAGAACCAGGCTGGTACTCATCTTCCTCCCCGTCCTCGCTCGCTTCCAATTCGACTTTCACGTCGTCCTGGAGCACACACAAAACTTTGATCAAATTTGCAGCCAGAAACATACCAGGACCTTGGCCATGAAAAACAATTAAGTTTCTCCGCATCTTGGCCAAATAGTGGCAGCTTGTGTGCGTAAATGTTAATCCTGTTTGGATTAGAGAAAATCTATCCTGAGTTATAACAATTTTTACTTTTAAATAGACTAAATTTACAAAAACTGAAATTATTATGGCATTCATGCCAGTGATAAGTGTATGTAGACTTGTGACTGGATGACCCAAAGTCCATATTTAAGCTGCTTCATCCATGTAAACTCTCCATAAAGCTCAACAAAAACTGCTGAGATTTCCATCTACGGTTTCAAAAGAGCAATACGAAGCAGTCACTAATGTGCAGTCACGACTAGCAGTCTGCATTCCTGGTCATCCCCCAAGTTGTTGGATTTCAGAGGTTGAGGTCAGAGCTTTGGTCAGACTAATTAGATCCTTGCTCACAAGTTACACTGTGAAAGTCAGAGCAGAGGAGAAAATATCTATGAACAAGAAGCCAACTACAAAATGGTTGCTGGACGAATCACAAAGAAGATCCAGAGGAATTTCTGAAAAAATTGGCACCCTCTAGTTCTTCTAGTGATTCATTTATTTGGCTCGTCGTAGTAGCGCTGACATGATGTCATTTTAAAGGGCTTTCCCAAAACTGCTGAAGTATAACTGGAAGCAAAATGTTTCATTGGAAGGAACTTTAGTGAAAGAGAAAGAGAGAGAACCATGAAGCAGAGGACCAGCATGTAGAAGGTAATGCTTCCAGCTAATGACAACATCAGCAATTTAATATGTAGCCGTGAATCAAGCCAACGCCACGCTTCACAATAAAACTGAAACCTACAGACAATCAGAGCCAAACAGACTCCAGTTTAACATGTAGCGACAGAGTTGTGTGAAGCAGTCAGCTCTCATCATCACTTCTGTAAACTCCCAGAGTTGAGCTGCTGTAGACCATTCATACAAACAGCACAGCGACTCCTTCAAGACTCTAAACTGAAGGAGTTTTCTAGTCGTAAGGTTTTCTCACTGTTAAAAAACATGAGACATTGGTCTCACGTTTATGGCTGGCCTTTTTATCTGTGAGAAACAAAAATGTGTCTGTTCACCAACATTAGGGCAACACATTAAAACTGTACTGCAAGATTTGTACATAAGATACAAAAACAAGTCAAGGACTGTCATTTGCTTGAAACATTTTGATATTTCTGACCCCCTCCTTTTCAATGTGTTACAAGTTCTCACATTAAACCTGCACATTTTTTTGAATGTTTACTGGCTGAATACTAAAATAATACTACCCTCACTAACAAGGGTTGCCAACTTTTGAATGAAACTTGGAGTGAAACGACGATAAGGGTTGATCCAAATATTCATTAATTTTTAAGAAACAAGAAATTACATTTTTATTCATTTAGATTAGTCTTGAAAGTTATTAGTTCCTAGTGGTTGAGATTAGCAGACTAAAGTCAAGTGGTCTCTTACTTCTGCACAGACCAGATAGACAGTGATTTACTGTGGTTTGTCCTTATTTGGAGAGAAAACTATTCGGGCAGAGTAAGAGCACAAGAAAGAGATCAAATGCTTGAGTCTGTTAATTGTGCTTCAGCTTTTAATTCAAAAGTCCAAAGAGTTTTTGTTGACGTGGAGGACAAAAATGCAAGCAGAAGGAACGAAATTCTCAGACATGTATTAAGAATTAAGTGAATGCAAACAAGCAGGAGACTGGAGAAAAATAAATATGGAGGTAGATCTAACAAAAGTTGCAAGCAAACCAGGAATCTGATTAAATGAATGTGAAACAGCTGACAAAGAGTAAGGATGGAGGTATGAAAGAGTTGCAGACACAATACTACACTACAACAGAAGACAGGAGAAATTACAGAGCAAGATCTACAATCAAAGACCACCCAAGAACCGCCTACAGTACTTCTCTCACTGTTTCCAAACACTGGATTTAGTTCATTTAGCAAGTGTTACTGTTTACTATCAATTCAAATTTTTGCACTAATGGTACAACAAGAAACAATGTAGAGGTTGATGGAAAATGACCAGACAGAATTCCACACTTCATGGAATGAGTGAATGTCATGACAGGTTCCCACTGAACACGGTGACAACTTTTCAGTGCAATATAAATAAACTTGCTAATGCTACACAGGAATGTATTGCAGATGGATGTGTTAGTTTGCACCTCAATAGGAAATAGGTTGCTGTTTAACTGGAAATTCAGAGATTGGATGAGATGAACTCCAGGGATGCTGAGTTTTGTCCTTCAGACACCGTTTACGGGGAGGACAGAATGAAACGGGACTGTAGGAATTTCTACATGGCACAACCCATTCAATCAGGTGGCAAAAAATACTTGAGTGTTTCAAACTCCAACTGTTTCCTGCTTTAAGTCTTGTGAAAAAGCCTGCTGTGTGCTACTCATGCATACATAAAATACACTGGTGTAAGATGACGGCAAAATATATCAACAAGCACCTTCCAGACATCACGCACTATTTGAATTGAAATAAAAAAATGTACCAGAAAACTAGCAATGAGTCATCATACGGTCTGTCACCAAGATCCCAAACCTACGGACAAATGATTGATGAATCAATCATCTCAATCTCACTAGCAACATGTAAATCTTACTGAAGAACTGTGGAATGAGCTGAATATCTAGAGATATTTAAAGCAGAATGGTAAAGCAAAGATTGTAAAAAGTCAGCAAATCAGCGTGGTGCAATTAACAAATGTCTGAACTGTAAGACTTTGTCTCACTGGCAAACCATGTTTCCTTCAGTTAAAGACAAAACGTTTTCCTCCCTGTAAATCCTAGCGATGACTTCATGAGTCAGCACAGTATCAGTATTCAAAAGATCTGGATACTGATTCATTGGCACTGCCTGCCAAACTGTGACTATCCAATCAGAACCAAATTACCCATTTAGAGTATCTGATAAGAACAAATCAAAAACCACATCAAAGTGGTTGATGGTCTTAATGAAGATAAATGCAAATAATTACCCACAACTAAAAAGATATTTTACACGGGCCGACTCCCACACCTGGGAAGGTTATTGTATCACGCTATCAAAACAGAACCTGTTTCCAGTGTTTGAACAAGGGCTTGGTGGCAATGGGAGAAACTCCCATGACACATGTCTGTGGTATCTGACTGGCTGCAGAGAACGTGGTATAAAAACCTGCAGGCTGGTCTATAATCCTGCAGAGCTCAGACGTCGCTGTGTCAGGTTTGAAAAAGAGCATCTCTTACATGGTTTGGAGCAAATGCAAACAGCAGAGGTGTAAAAAGCAAAGCCTGCTTACATGGCGGAGTAGAGTACATGGAGGTGGGTGTGTCAGCTTCACACACATGCCTGTCATACCCGTAGAAAAAGGGAGAGTGGAGATAAAGAAGAATCATGAACCAGTCTGCACACTACACAGCTCTAGGGTGAGAGCTTGTTATCCAACCAGACCAACCAGTAGGTGTCAGCCCTAACAATAGTACACATTGTACATGTGTACTACTGTGTTCTTTACCTTTATCTAAACTTTAAGGTTAACAGGATCAAAAACAGCAATTCTGAAATGAAAATCAGAAACTGTGTTTAGTCGGTTTTAATTGCGCTGTAGGTAATTTGCCGAGAAAGTTTGGGACATTGATTGAATGTGCAATCAAACTCTGATACGGACCCTGAAGTGAACTCTGATGCGGTTTGAATGCATGTGTGAAAAGCAAGCGGGATGGAGACCGCTCCAAAAGTAGGACGCGAACTACAGCGCAGGGCATTCTGGGTAAACAACCAAACAAAGGAATGAGTCTAATGCTACTGGGAGAAATGACTCGTGGTCTTTTGCCAAAGACAAAAGAGAAATCTTACAACCGCTAAAATCTGACACCACTCCATTTTTTACGCTTTATGATGAAGGTAGTTGCACTGCTTCCGTAGTTCTTGAGGCAGCGCCACCAACAGGCTTTGGTTGCAATTCTGGTCCTCAGTCGAACTGAACCTAATGGATTATCAGTTGGGAAAACGCCATATGTTTAGCTTGTCACAAAAAAATAAGAAAATGTGCATTTTGTTTTTTACTCCTTTATTGCAACAATACTTGTCATCACTAGAGGCAATATCACCACTTAGAGCTCAGTGGGATTCAACAACCAGTGGCAATCACAAATTTCGACTCTTAGGGCCCGATTTCATTTACCTAATCTGATAAAAGTCAACAGCTGAATTAGCTCTTTGTCACTAGCACAGAGGATCTGGTAAGTGTTCAAAAGGGAAAAGTCCACACACTCAACTCTGCTACTTATCTCACAAATGCATTTTCTTTACAACTATGTCTGTTGTAACAAAGAGGTTTGCCAACAGCATAACGTTTATGGCCCAGAGGTCTTATGAACACATACATTTTATTATTCTCTTTTCTTTTTAAAACTCATGAATAATTCTATGATATTACACAACCACAAGTACATACACATAAAAAAGACAGTGTGGAATTCATTGAAGCGTCACAGCACATTTAGCAGCCTTTATTTATACAACGCAAAGCCATACAGGTTCAAGTCTTGGCCTGGGAACAGAATCTTTTTTGTGATGGGATCCTAACTTAATTAAACCTAAACATATCTTGAAAGACAAACCTAAAGTAAACTCTAATGCTAGCAGCAGGTAGGTGACTTAGACAGCGGAAGATGTAAGGAGTAAAAGATTTTGTCAGCAAGAAGACATTTTGTACTTGCTATGCAGGTTCTGGTTAAAAAGACACGAGGCAGGGATCTGAGCCTGGACCTTCTTGTTGCAAGGCAACAGTACAACCAACTGCACCGCCGAGCAACAACACAATATCCATGTACAATATCAATAAGAAACAATATCAGCTGCTTGCTGGTAAATGAAATCAGACAGGTAATATCTGGCCCAAAAACATTTAAAATATATTCATTTTCTTTCCAGATTGAGAACAAATTATAT